AATCAAAGCGTAAGACGTTGATGGAGATGAAGTTCTGACAACAGAGAGACAATGGGAACTACACGGGAGTAAGGATCCTGCTTGACTGGCGAAAATAAAGAAAACGACCGAATCTTCGCACTTAAATTGTCCCTTCCCTTTCCGTCACCATTGTGTAACAGCTACCTTGGATAGGAACAAGCGATCCATCAAGACAACTGGTGTAAGTCTAATCTTCATTTTCATCATTATACCTTCATTATTCCTTTCGTTGAGGAAATGGTGCGGTGCTGGGGATAATCTTGAACTTAAAGTATGGGGGTAGCCCCAATACGTTGTACGGGTTTACGAGCGGTTATAAAGAAAAACTACTCGAGAAATGATCAGCAAAAACACCACCAAAGCGGTGATACGAAGAAACTAACACAAAAAGAGATCCTAAAAAAATTTCTTTCCCTAAATGAACAATGCCACTCGCACACGCGATCATAGTTAACGCCAATTGCTGGCGAACTTGTGGCGAATTTAAAAGTGCAGTCTAACCACGCCCGTCATCCTGTTAATATTTTGCACGGTAGGCGATCAGATTTTTCGGGTTACCTTCGAATACTGCGATGCAAAGCCTGACGAAATTCGCCATTACGGAAAAAATAAACCCATGGGTTGATGGCTGACGATGAAAGCGCGACTGCCTCAATCCATGGCCATGCAACATTATACAACTTTTCATCGGTGCACGGATTACTCGCAGAAAACTCGTGCACAATGGATAGGGCAAGGCAAGGCATCCAAGAAACGACAAAGACACCCAACACGAAACCTATGGTTTTGATAGCTTTAAAATTTTGTATTATACGGCTTGGAAAAGTACTTCGTCTTTCGTCCGCACGATGCTTATTTCCCCCCGTCATTCTTCGGGCTTGATTGCTTGCGGCCTTGAAAATCCAAAAGTAGCATACCGCCATGACAGTTGTGGGGATGCAAAATGTGACAAGCGATACGAATGACCACAAGTTTTCAGCATTTACAAAAATGACCGGACAAAGAAGAAGCAATGATGTAAACCACACCACGGCAATGAGGCTATGACATGTCTTCTTGGTTAAAATGTCCTGATAACGGAAAGGAAACCGAATGGCTATGAAGCGATCCACGGAAACACAGCATAGGTTAAGCGTTGTAGCAGCGGTAGTGTGAATCCACAACATGTCCATAAACTTATTCAAGGCGGCTTGGGTCACATTTGACGGCTGGATCAGACATCTAAAGGTGATCCAAATAGGGTCTATTACAAGTCCAACTAAAAAGTCTGCTACAGACAACGAGGCTAGGAATCGGTTGGAAATTGTACGTAAAGACTCATTTCTGAAGAACAACCATAACACAACTGCGTTTCCTGTTACAGCTGCTAAACCAGACGAGGAGAAACACAGCGAAAGAACGATGGATGCCTCCTTACTTCTTTTTTCATTCAAGCAGCCAACAGTCATGGTAATTCAATGCAAAAGGAGACTTGTAATTGAAGAGTGACTGTGGAAGATCCGTAAAACGCGATTGAAGAATTTTTTTCCTCAAACTTTTACAATATTCGCCCGGTCAACCGCCTGCGATGTGCATCAGTCCTTCGCATTAAAATTTAAAACAAATGTAAAGATTTGACTTTGATATTTTCCCTTTAGTGAGCCCCTTACAAAGCGTGATTGTCGTTTAGGTAATCAAAGATGCGGTGAATTTGAATAAAACAATATGGATATTGCATATCACAATGCAATGCGCAAAAAAATTGATTTGCCAATTACTATGACTATATTTAACGAATAGTCTACATACGTAGAGCTTGTATTTTGAAACTGTTTCGACTTTCTTGCTTCTCAAACACATTCAGCAACTCCAAAATTGGCGAATGTTGACAGTTGTGTTGTCCTTAGCTAATGTGCACATAAAATTTACGACTTGATATTTAATTTATATGCCATGCTCTTACTTGAAGCTTTGCAGGGAGCTTTTTGTACTCATGACAGTTCTTGTCTATTCAGTTTTAGCAGGTGACAAGCAACTGACGACTACGGGTCAGTTCGTCATAAGATTAATAAATATTCTAGGAGTGGCAAACTTCAGAACCTCTACATTGAGCCCGTTCCTTGTTTGGATCAGCAGTAGGAACAGCGTGTTCGCTTCTCTCAGAGAAAATTTTACTGCTAATTTTCTATGAAGCATGTTAAGAGTTCCGTGTTTATAACATTTTGTCGGCATAAATTAAAGTCCTTCAAGCACTCACAGCACGAGTTGAGGACCACCTATGTCGTTCAAATTCAACATTTACGTTCCACCTTAAAGTTCTCCAAGGCAAAGGTCTGTTTACAGTGCTCATAACTATCTCGATCCGGTCACTCGGTGCATGAAAATTGGCCAATAAATGCATTAGAACAACTTATTTAAGTCACATTTTTTTTTGCAACTCTTTATTCAGAAAAGTAAGAATTCCTAATTAATTTGATATCGTCGCCGTGTTTTGTCCTCTGTTTGCAATTAAACAGAAAAACAAACATAAGGATATTAGCATATGAAAACACTTTGTCAAATTTTATATTACCAGTGTAAACCGGACCCAAGGAAGTTTTGATTACAAGGGACTCAATGGAAATAGGACTGATCTCTCTGGTTAAGGGACCCCGGAATGAGAATTGTAATGTACCTTGCCCGATCTCTTTATATCTTTATATCATTTGTTGATGGATTTAAAAAATTCATTCTGCCGTTTACCAAATTCAATTTATTTGTCTGATTATTTATTTACCTGTTCGTTTTTTGTTTTTTGTTTTCATCATTTTTGATCACCTTGCTAAAGAGAGAGGTTTCTGGCGAAATAACGTTATTTTTGCGATTGAAAAACTCTTATCCGTATAATTTTCGTAAACTGTTGCACTTGAGGTTGACAAAGGCTGACTCTTCTCCCTTGCAACATGCGTGGCAACGAAAGGCAATGAACCGCGAGAAAAAGATGGTCGTCATCTTCTTCATTTTGCCCGCTAGGAGTCAAGTCCTCGCCGGGTGAGCCATGAAGATGGTCATATTTGACACAAGCGTTAAAACTACATTAACTATTAATCAGGAGCCGTTACTAATGGGTATCCGGAATTAGGAACTTTTTCAAACAACTTTCTGTCACTGAAGCAGCTGTATGTTAGGGAAAACTTTGTTGTCAGTTATTGCCAGGCTTTTGACTTTAAGAGAAATCAAATCAGTTCCCTTTTTATCGTTGCTGAAGGGCAAGGTAAGACTGAGATATAAACAACAATTTCGAAACATTTTCCAGAGAGCTGTTGTCGTATCCATCTCACACCTTTTACCGTTCTTCGTTTTCAGACTTCTGATAAAAACGACGTGCCTGTCAATAAAAAGCATATCTGCTTAAAAGGAAAATGATGATTCATGCAAAACCAGTTCAGTTTCAATAACATTTGTTTGTAGAGGGGAAAGGAAAATTTTAAGCATTCCCAAGTTCACTTTCTTTTTTTCTGCAGAAGCTGTACATCATCTCACCATGAATGATAGCCATCCAGACAAACATCTCAGCAGTGCAGCGTCCATCTGTTTAACAGTGTGGTTTTCCTTGTCAAGCTTTGTAGCTGTAACTGGAAACGCAATCGTGTTGTGGCTGTTCTTCAAAAACGAGTCTTTACGAACAATTTCCAACTGCTTTTTAGCTTCACTGTCCGTTGCAGACTTTTCAGTTGGGATTTTTGTAGACCCTATGTGGCTCGCTACCAGATGTTGGATTCGGCCGCCGCTTCACTCCTTGTTGATGGAAGTTATAAAAGTATTGTGGATTCACACATCTGCCGCCACTACTTTCAACATTTGCTGTGTTTCTGTCGACCGGTTTATTGCCATTCGGTTTCCTTTCCGTTATCAGGACATAGTAACCAAGAAAAGATGTTATGCGGTCATCATTTTGGTTTGGTTTAGTTCACTGGGGCTTTCTTTTTTAACATTTTTCCTAGATAGTTCAAAAAAAGCGATGATATTTTATTTAACATGCATTATCTATACTACATCATTATTTGTTGTCTCTTTTTGCTATGTTAGTATTTTCAAGGCTGCCAGAAAACAGTTCAAACGAATAATCGCCTTGGAAAATCCCCGAAAATGCGACGAAAATATTAGAGTTCTTGCTGTGCACAATTTTAAAGCTATCAAAACAGTAGGTTTTGTTTTGGGTGCTTGTATATTCACGTGGATGCCCAGTTTAGTTCTGATTATAGTGGGCTGTTATCACCTCCTAACAAAAGACGAGAGTGAAATGCTTGAATTGTTTCTTGTTGCATGGCCCTGGGTTGACGCAATCGCTTTTACATCGTCAGCGATTAACCCACTGATATATTTTTTCCGAAATGGCGACTTTCGTCGAGCCTGTCGTCGTGCGTTCCAATGGCTTCCCTGTCTTCATTCGGATATCTCACCAGAAATTGGTTTTACATCGGAAAGAAACCAAAATGACCGAATAACACGAAATGGTGAGACGAATGGCAACTTGGCAAGTCAAGAAAAAAGGGAATGAAGGAAATTCAAACGGAACAGTGCTCCACTTAATTAGAAACCTGGTCGACCTATATAAACATAACGGAACATCTACACACGTTCATGTTTTCAGAATTCTCATTTTCTGTAAATAAAAAAAAGACTTTGGTTAAAAATCATTTTTTTTCTCGTTATATCAAGCAAGTTTTACTCGACAAGAATTCTTTATTTTCCCCAGAAACACCTGTCATTTTGAGCCCTGGTCATATATTCAGTCTAGCAAATTATTCTGATAAAAAGTTTCGTCCCTGAACTCAGTTCTTAGTTTTAACTCGGTTGAATTCATGAAGGAAAGACCGAACCCTTTCATGAAGTGGGCTGTTTTCAAGGGACAAAATCGTGAAAAATTATATACAATTAATAGAACTTATTTATCTTCCGTTTTTTCCTTCTAATTGATTTAAAACCACTCAAGCTATGGGTAACTGATTTGGTCGTGAAATCAATAAATATCCTAGGACTGAAAACATTGGATCCTCTACCTTGAACCCGTCGCTAGTTTGACTCAGCGGTAGAAGCAGCTAAGTCGCTTCTCTCAGAGAAATTGTAAACGCTAATTTTCTATGGGGCATATAAAGTGTTGTTCAAACACTCACAGCATGAATTGAGGATCAGCTATATTATTCAAATTGAAATTTTTGGACCACCTCAAGCTCTCTGAGGCAACCCTCTGTTTACGGTGCATGTGAATTTCTACTGAGAGCCCGGTTACTTGGTTGCAAGAGAATTGATCAATAAACAGATAATCATGATGCAACAGATGAAAAAAAAAGATAATGTTCTTGTAACTCACAAGCCACACAGAGGAAATAATTGCTATTTCATTTCCTTTTTCAACGCAATGAAGACTTCCTGTGGATTTGCCGACCCCGCGTTTCGTTCTCAATTTGAGTTTAAAAAGAAACTCATGGACACGCGCACACAACAACATTTTGTTGAAGTCTGCTCTAATTTTACTAGCGTAAACCAGACCCTTGGAAGTTTTGATAACAAGGGAATTAAATAGAAGTGGAATCTTATAGCTGACGGGACCCCGTGATGAGAATTGCATGTAGTTCTTTCTACAATCGACTTATTTACTTTGGGCATTAAATATTTTATTTCAATATTACCTTCTATCAATTATCAATGTTAATTGATCCATTTCGGGCAGCTGATATGTCGGCTAACCATGTCCGCGGCTGA